TCCAGACACCATAACTGACCCACTTCCGTAGCGGTCATGCTCAGCAATATTTGCAGCCTGAAACCGTTCAACTCGTCTTCTCCAGACTCTAGCACGCTTATCTGTGAAGTCTAGGCAGAAAATGGACTCGTCAGTGAACATAACATGTCTCCATTGTTGAATTGTCCTGCGTGAATGCTCCATGGTCCATTCCAAACGGGCCTGGCGATGACGACGCGTCAAGGGGATACGTATGCAAGGTCTTCTCGACCGCAAATTACCTTCATGCAGCCTTAAAAGTACCGTCTGTGAGGAAACACGGATCCCTGCAGCATTAGCAAGGTTACTTCGAAGAGAAGTTACTGTCGAAATCCTTGAAAGACCAAAAATCGATCCTAAGCTGGTGTTGTGACCCTTTGCCGACCTCCAGAATGCCTACTGGCGGTTGTTCCATGTAGGCGGTATATCTCCCAGGTTCTGGTGATGACGGTGTGGTGTGCACCGAGCGCCGCATCAACTTGGCGGAAGGTGGCCCCCTGCTGCACCATCTCTACACCCCTCCATAACCCTGCTTCTCTCAAATGCCGCCTAATGTTAGCAGTCGCTATATTGAAGTAAAAGATGTAATTAATGTAAGCCACTGAATGACAATAAACTGGAAATGTATGCGTAAAACAAAAGACATGTGATTGTACACCCCATCAAAAACATGAAAATATTAGGGTCTCACCCCGGTACGGAATTCGACCCAACCCGTACTAGAAAGTAGTTCTTTTAATTTTTGAAGTGGCCCAGTTTATGTTCTCTCTAGTTTGATTGGTCATAATTAAAGTGTATTTATTGCATGTGTGTAGTTTTTGTGTGTTATATGATGACTTTAAAAGTTGTTTTTTGTGTATTCTCCAGGAACTCATTTGTTTGCGGAAGGATTAAAAATGTATTACCCACCAGCAGTCAAGAGTTTTCAAAGTGGTGAATTTAAACAGTGTTACAACATAATGAAGATTTCTGAAAAAAAGTAGATGGCTAACATGTTATGTTTTGGGCCTCATTTGACTTAGATAGTGTTGAGTTTAACCCATTACCCCATGAGCATTTTGTGAAAAATGGCTGTTTTCATTGAAAAGTCTCCCGTTACAAGTTCAAGTTGCTAAAAAACTATAAAAACTGCTTCAATACTAATCAAACTTGGCACAAATGATGACTGGACCATTGCCTTTGTAACAACATGCTCAGTCTGAAATTTCCTGTTACCATGGCAACTAGGGGACATCTCAAAATTGCCAAAAATCACTATTTTGCGTTGATTTTTTCCATCAAAATTGATTTCAAAGTGCTGCCACTTCTCAATGGATTGAGATAGAGTCAAAGGCTTTTCAGCATTGGCTACACGTTACCTTATGATCGACCTGGGGCCATTTTTAGCCTCCCACAAGTCCAAAATTTTCTTGGCGATACTGATACTTAAATACTTTCTAAAATAAAGTACTTTTACTGCAGAACTGAGCTAAAATCTAGTACTGTAACTGGTATTGGTACTGCATAACTTGGCAAGTACTGGTAATTAAGTATTAGACCCTTTAATTAGTACTGATTCAGCTCTGGTTGTATACAATGGTGTTGGTATTAGTAGTTTTCACTCCGGAACACGACAGTAAGCCACATTGAATTCACCAGAGCAAAGTTCCACCACCGCATCGTTCCTGGGCAGGCTGTCAAACAATTTACCATTGCTATAGTTGCCTTCACTTTTGTAAGGAACAGCAACTTCTGTACATAACAGAGCAGAGGTACAGTGCGAATGACCGTAGAAAAGATTTCACGACCAATCGTAATGAAAGTGACCTGCGCCGTCCGGGAATCGAACCCGGGTAGCGCGATTCACAGTCCAACGCTCTACCTATTGAGATAACCGTAATTCATTGTATAACACACTTAAGTGTGGTTGCATAAGTATACCACACTATAGTGAAATGATATTATGTATAAAATTATGCTTATAAAACAATTTTAACCCTTTCACTGCCATAGGGACGGCTTAAGCCGTCCCTGTTATTTTCGGCGTATTTGCCATATGGACGGCTTTAGCCGTTTCTATTATAATAATAGTAATAATAATATATTTATAATAATAATAATAATAAAGATAATAATAAATATAAAGAAAATTATACCATTGACAATAATTATTATTATACTAACAGATTTGGAAACATATATAATTATTATAATACTAATAACAAATAATAATAATTATATTAATTAATAATATAGTAATTTCTTAGAAAATCCTCTGGCAAATAGGTGAACAATAAAACAATAACCCTCTGGCAGCGAAAGGGTTAAAACATCGGAGAATATGAAAAAATATGTACTGCCATTATGTGAACATATTATATGTAATCATTTAAATATATGCATTCATTTCTTATTGAAAAAATTGGCTTAGACTTTATAGAAAATAATTTTTATTATCTCCCCTTATTTACATGCAACGTTAAATTCGGTAATATCTTAATAAAAAATGCTATTTGGAACTTACAAAATTGATAAATCTGAATTTGGGCATCCGCCCCCCTTCAAACTTCCCAAACAGAAGGGGGCACATCACCCTTCTGGCAACCCCCTGATGTATCTTTTGGATGGGGGGCCGCGCCGAAAAGTGGTCAATTTTTTTAACAACATTTCTCAAACAAAAACAAGTGTTTGGGGGCCTAAATAATGCATTTTTTCACCATTTGAGAAAGCAAAAAGGGGGGGTGAAAAAGGCGTAGAAAGGCGTATATATCTGGTAATGGGTTAAAGTTGAAGACAGTATATAATTCACCAGGAACAGTGGAATTGGGAATTAAGCCTCAAATGTCACTGATTTACTATAGAACAAAGAATACGAAAATTCACTAGGCCGACTCCATTAGGGCGCATACTTTGCATGTTACCTAGACGAGTTGTAAAGGATTAGTCAACACGGATTCATGTCAACTACATGTATCTCAAAACATTGCTGAATCAGATTGATCAAAAATTGGTAAGAAATCTATTTTATACTTGCGATAATATAAAAATTAACATATGGTGCTTAGCAAAAGTTGATAAGTATATTTATTATAAAGCGATTAGTGTCTATTTCCCCACATTGTAGTATTACAATTAGTTTAACCTGTAATACCATTTGTCTTTCAAAGATTGTTTTAATCATGTTGAATTATGTGCTTCATTTATATTTACATGTACATGTATGTATGTCGGTCAAAAGCTTTACATAGCTTATTTTTGTGAATCGTTTATATGCATGCCGACAACATTTTTATTTGATTTGATTTGAACAGAAAAGGGCATTTGACTTGGCAAAGAAAACTTTCATTGAAGTTTCTTTTTCAGGTAAAAAATCAATTTTAACATTTTCAGCCATTCAGATCCATTTCATTCAATTCAGTTATCAATTTAAAAACCTTGACGAAACAAACATATTAGTGATGATCAAAACGTTCTGACTGGATATCCCAATGCTTACACTACCATGCAGTTTGATATTTGTGTCAGTGCATCCTGCTTAAAGAAATAAATAAATAAATAAAATAAATAAAATATAAAAAATCTGATGATATTGAACTATTAACTCCAATAAGAAACCAGAGCTGTCAGTAGCACAGCACGGTTGTCTTATTTCAGTGCTTGGTGCCACGAAAAGTTTCCAAATTATTTTTTATCAATGTGTTCACTTCTTTTAGCTTTGTGTTTTATTTAGGCGTTTAACAACTTAATTATTTCACATTTTAACTTAAATTGTAAGACCATTACAAATGTCTATTTCACCAAAACAGGGTCCTTCAGTTCTATTCGAAAGACCCTGTCTTATAATATCAAAATTTCAATCATTTTAAGAAACTTTAAAACTATTCTACATACTGCCAGTTTTCAATCACAACTACTTTTCAATCATCCCTAGAAATTCTTTATTTTTGACCTTATTTATCATGTAACCTAACTGTAAGCACATATCTTGTATTTACTTTAACTACATTTATCAGCAACAATGTCAATTATGGCGATCAAAACAAAAGTTGGACCTCTGTTTCACTATCATTAAGTCATAATGTATACTGCACTACAAAGGCTATTATTTTGATATGTACATATTTTACCATACAATTCTTATCTGGAACCAGTGTCTTTCTAATTGAAAATCCTGCTGGAACGTAATTTACGTCAGTAAAGTAACAGTCACTTAACCAAAGAAAAACATTGTCTCTGATAACTTTTCAGTAAGCTGTCACAAGAAGGGGGTCATATAAACCCTAAGATCCAAAAAGTTTCACAAGAACATGCTTTTTCTGTTATTCAAATTGAGATGTACATCCATACCCCAAATGTGACTGCTTTACTACAGTAAATGGATATCAAAATTGAAAAATGGCATTATGAATAGGTTAAAATTGTTTATTACCATTAATCTGAAGTCGTGTAGTTCAAAATTTCTTCAAAATACATAACTGGTTATATTTTAACATTGTATGACAAACTTTATGTGATACATTACATATTTTCTTAACTATTTGTAAAGTGGCAGTGAAATTTTGAAGAACAGGAAAATGGGTCAGTAGTGGTTTGTCTACGATACATTCTAATAATTCAGGTAAAATCTCAAAAAGTTGTATTTATTAGCAGAAATAATGATATTTGCAGAATTGTTAGAGAATTTTTTTTATAATTTTACTGTCAGTTATTGTAGAAAAATCTGTTAGCTGATCGGAAAGTGGCAGTACTACGGGGATATAAATCTTCCTATTATTCATTAATAGGTATACTTACTTTTTGTTAGATTATTGTGTACATTCGACACTAAGTCTTACTAAAAAAAAACACAAAATATTAGAGAATTCTAAGCACTCCCGTTGTCGCCTAAAAAATCTCCGTTGCATATTTTAGACATACAAAAATTTAGTAGTGTCATACCAATGAGAATTAATCTGGTCAGGGAGTCCTATTATAGTTGAAGTGCGCAGGGGACCAGTATTGAAACGGCAGTCGAGAAGTTGCGTTCGTTGGAAGTTACTTTCATTTCAATTCAAGGTATCCAACTCCAAAATAATCATGTCTTATAACTTTGTTAGGACTTTTTAAAGACGATTTACAAGTTTCAGCTGCCTTTCGAAAATCTATATGGGATAGTATATACATGATATATGCTTATATAAACAGTCGATGTGATAAAAGGATGACAAACCTGGAATAATTCGTCCCGTAGACGATTCGCAACTAAAAGTGACCTTTCGTCTCACTTCAATTTGAAAATCTAATTAATTAAATTTGACATCATTTGATGTGAAAAAGAATGTTTATATAAATTGTCTTATTTACAGGTGTACATAACTTTGCCACAGCCTGGCCACCACAGCCCAGTCATTGAAACTACCCTTTTCTTTGTTTCCTGTTGTTTCCACCAGGGTCTTTCAAATAGAAAGACCCTGTTTCCACACTCTGTTAAAAAATTCCTTGCCAACAAACTTTTTCTCCATCAAAATTATTGATTTTGTTATTTTATGGAATGACTTGCTAGAAAATGTGGTATAAGCGCAAACAGTTGATACTCAGCGATTTTTTCCCTATATAAGTGGTACCCAATAAGGGACCAATTCACAATTTTCAGACTGGGTCCGATGGACCCGTTCACAATTGTGATGAAATTTCACAATTTCGATTTAAATTAAGCCTTTAATAATGTATTATTTCCTGATTATTTAATGATGCTAAAATTTTGCCTGTTGTGCTTTGTTTATCTTAAAATGTGTTTAGCCGACCATGATTTCTGTTGCATTCGCCCTTAAAATTTTCCTATTGTTTAAATAGGAAACTTCTAGGGACGTATCAATACCGAAACAAGCGTCTGGCAATTTCTGTAAACATCATTTAAAATGGCTCGTAACAGTAAAGCTTTAGACATGAAGTACGTTTAAGTCAGTCACAAATTATATGTTCTTACTGCTTAATAAGATTTTTACAATCTTAAGTAAAAAATTCACAATTTGTTAAGAAACAACGCTTTTTTTCACAATTTTTATGGTACCGGACCCATTCACAATTCAGTGGAAAAAATCGCTGATACTTTCTAAACCAGGTCAGACAATCACTGGAAAGAAATCAACACATAGCCTACATGTATGGCAGTATGGGACATTAAATGATTATGAGGGTTTTGTATTATATCTAAGAATTAGAAACGATTCACAACAATAACAATTTGCCACATGACGATTCGCCACAGTTAAATTAGGATTTGCTGCAGTACGATAACAATAATATTCTCTGTTTGACTGGTCCTAGTTTAGTTAAATCAACATTTTTTTTATAAATAATTGACAATGACAATAATAAGGTTTCTTAATATTAGTTATGTGAATTAAGTTCAGTTGCGCCAATTTTCAATTTATCTAAGTAACATAATTACTGGAGTACATCGACGAGAAAGTAATTATATGTTGAGATAAATATTGAATTAAACATATACATATAATATGATGTCAACTGATATTTTTATCAATACAAATACATGTCAAATATTAAAAAATGGGTATTGCAAAAATAAATGTATTCATTACCAAAAGTGATTAAAGAACGCATATCTAAAACATTTGTCACACATTTAATTCAAACAAGCCAATCATCTTAGGATTGTTGTACAAATTTTTAATTGACGCCAAAATATTCCTTTTATTCTCTGACAATGTGTTTTTATTCAATAAAAGCCGTATTTAGTATAACTTTCCCAGTTATATTATTTGCAAATTTCAACCAATTTACAAAATGTTTTGTAATTTTGGTAATAAAATATGTTTGTTTTCATGTTTTTTTATTCAATTAAATCTGTATTTAGTATATTTTTTGTTTTTGTTTTATTATTGACAAATGTTAACTAATTTAAAATAATTATGTTATGTAATTTTGGTAATAAAATATGTAACTAATATGTTTGTTTTCATATTTTTTTTTCAATAAAAGCTGTATGATTTAGTATAATTTTCCAGGTTATATTATTAACAATTGACTAATTAACTAATTTACAATGTGTTTTGGAATTTTGGAAAAGTCTGGCAGCAACAGCTTTGTTGCTGTTCATTTTATAATTATTGTTACTGTTTTGTTGTTCCCAAAGTGCTAAAGAACAAAAGTAGCGACAGCTAATATTAGTCTCTAGGTATTGAGAGTTATATGTAGGATAATGGTGTTGTAATAAGGTGGTGCTAGCCTAGGTGCACATTTAAGGATAAAGATGACCCAAATAGTTGGCAATAGGACCACGACAGAGTTGAACTTCCTTGCAACTTTGCAGTTTCTATATCATTCTTGAAACCTATAAAATGGCCAATTTTAAGATATCTTCTTTGTTGTGAAAATAAAATACCATTCCTTGACAGATGCAATTTTCATGTATATCACTTTTATTAACATATCAAAATTGATCATTTTGTAAAAGAATTTTATATTCCAATATGTTGCCTCTTTCATAACATTATACAATTTCTATTTTGATACAGAATGCAACAGATGATGGGTGACTTTGAGCTATTAAATGATGTCCCTGGATCTAAAGCTATCCTTAAAGTTGTGCTGAAAAGCCAAATACAGTTGCTTGTAAGTAAAGATCAATGTATATACTATCACTATTTATATTAAAGGTCCATAAAGCCAAATAAATGGTTTTATTTTTATTTCTTAAAAGCTATTTTTGGAATCCTGTGATAGTTTTCAAAAAGTAACTTATTGGACAATTACATGAAATATCTTTTGTTTCTGTTAAATATATGCTTTTTACTCCTTACTATAGCAATTATTTCAATTAAAGTGATTTAGTATTTTGTATGAAAGTCGAAATACAATTTTTTTACATTTTCCTACTTTTAACAAAATAATTTTCACATTGCAAATCGCTCTTATAATCTACTTAAATTACCAAAAAGAGGTAAGAATAATTAAAATAAGCCTGAGCTCAACTGCATTAGTCATGCCGAAGAAATATTGACATTTGTATAAGTCTGCCAAATCAGTCATTAATCAAACCTGACACATGAATTAATACTTTAATCATGAAATTATTACTTTTTTTTAAATCTTAAGATATTTTTTTGAAATATTTTGGCTCATCCAGGAGACATGCTGATTTTGGTATATTTTCAGATAGATCAATTATGCAAGTATACAGGTGAAGAATCATTTATTCTGACAGCAAATGCCAGCGACGGTGCTCAATCACTTTTAGGATCAAGTACTGGGAAAGGTTTTCTGGACAACCGTAGTGAAATTAAGACTCAATTCTTAAGCTTTTGCCTTAAATGTAAGTCTGTAAATTCTCAAAATCAGGGCTCGACATTAACGGTTGTCCGACTGCCCAGGACAACTAAAAATTTGGTCCGGGCAAGTTATTTTGAAAAGCACTTGTCCGACAGGGCAAGTGAAAATAAAAAAATGCATGTACAAAATAAATAGAAAAAACATCTTTTCATTTATAAACATCTTTAAAACAAAAATACACCATGAATCATTATAAAGTTTTTGCATTTAAAATATCTGATATAACAACATTATGAACTTAGTCAATGAAGACTCGTTTACAGCTGTTGACATCAATTCGTCGTTATTAGCCTGGATGATGATTGATGAACTGATGTTTTAGAAAAACTACTGATTACAAAAAAATATTTGTGTCTAACTAACAATCAATTTCATAAACAATATGTCCAGTTTATTGCCTTATGTTAACATTACCTAATGCAAGAAGTATTAATGTTTGTTTGTCTTTTTGATTTATACATTTTTACCATTTTTAGGTCAGGACAAGTAAGTCTTAGGTCAGGGCAAGTAGTTCAAAAGTAAATGTTTAGGCCTGAAAATGCTTGATAATTAGAAGTAAAGTGGGGCTATAATACTCTCTATCTAACTCACATTGTTTGCAGAATACATGTATAATTTAGCTTATTAAGGATTTCATTTGAAGCATCTCATGTCTAAGACCCTTTGACTCTTTTGTGAACTATTTGAGCCGTGTCACGACAAAACCAACATAGTGCGTTTGCGACCAGCATGATCCGCACAGTCTGATCAGGATCCATGCTATACGCTTACAGACCCTATAACAAGTAAAGAAACTGATAGTGAACAGCATGGATCCTGATCAGACTGTGCAGGCTGCTCTGGATCCATGCTGGTCACAAACCAATTATGTTGGTTTTGTCTTGACAAGGCTCATTTCTTGTTCTGAACTTAAAATTTCATGAAAAGTGTATTTACATCACCACTAAAACTATTCATTTGAAACTTAGTTAATGCATATTTGTTTTAGTAAAAAATTGTTGGTCAGTGACTTTCTAGTAATTGTCATTAGTTTAAAATATATTTTCTATTTTACATATTTAGAGAGCTCAGTAAGTTAAACAAAGACTAATCATTAATTTTAATCCTTACAATGCTAAATATCTCATCCATCAATCTTGACTTAACCATTCAACATTTTAGGGGAAAATTTCAAAAAATTGTCCGTATGGATGTGCCATCCTATCTTGGTCTGCACAGTTTGCTCTTCTATCAGGTCATATTTCCCTTGTATTATGTAACCGCCTTTGTGGTCGTGGGGTTAGAGTCGATGACTTCTAATCCTGTTACCTCTCTGGTGTGGGTTCGATCCCCCGGAGATGCTTTGGTAGTTTAACATGGAGGAAGGTAGTCTAGTACTGGTGTAACTCTCCAGGAACGATGGTTAGGAAACTACCCGCCTATATGACTGAAATACTGTTGGGAAAAGGTGTAAAATGAAACAAACAAACAAACATATTTCCCTTGGTGGTGAGGGTTTGCCTTTATGGGTTGAGGCATCAGAATAGCAACCATCATTTATCCCTGCTTGATTGTAAGAGGCGACTAAATGGGTCAGAATTATTGGAGTTTAATGCATCTCTTAGCTCCAACAGATGAGGTGGTTTTGAACCCTGGTTAAAGTTTGTATCACCCGAGGTTAGCCAAAATCACCTATCCTGTTTCAGCACTATACCACCTAAACTGTGATGGTGCACCATAAAACCAAACAAAAAAGCCAACAAACCATACAGTCAGATCTTTGTCTTCACTGCTTGCATAGGTAGATTCACCTTTTAAAGTCAACAATCACTCTTTTTGCCAGCACTTTGATGATAAATTAAATGAATTTTCATGACTGTAATTGATTTTATATACTTTGCAGCTCTTCACAATGCAGAAGAGAACTTCTCACAGCACGAGTTTTCACGCTCTAAAGTTAGAACTCATCCATATACAAGAAAGAAATCTCCGTCAAGGCACAATTCTTTTGCCTATGAAAAAAGAAGGGACTTTTGTACTGGAGAGCAAGTAGCAAATGCTGAAACAATACAAATGACCAATTCTAGTGCAACAGATAACAGCTCAGGAATAAATTATCAAGCAAATGTTTCGGAAACAGAAATTTCTTCTGTACAAGAAAGACACCAAAGAAAAAGTCTAAAATTCCCCCATAATATTACCAGTTTTCAATATTCTGGTATGAACTTTGACAACAATTTCTCAGATAATTTATATTCAGATAATTCTCAAGCTCCTGATGACACAGATCGTAATCTTGATCACAGGAATGATTGTGTAATAGTTAAAACAGAACAAGATTTAGATGATGTAGAAGTGCTTGGAGTTGAGTTAGCTACACAACAGTATGGAGATGAACAGTTTGGAGGACAGTTTAGTTCTGACAGTAATCAGACAGCTACTAGTCATGATGATACAGGTATGTCAAGGTCATCTCGAAAGGTCATCTCGTAAGGTCATCTCGTAAGGTCATCTCGTAAGGTCATCTCGAAAGGTCATCTCGAAAGGTCATCTCGTAAGGTCATCTTGTAAGGTCATCTCGTAAGGTCATCTCGTAAGGTCATCTCGTAAGGTCATCTCGTAAGGTCATCTCGAAAGGTCATCTCGAAAGGTCATCTCGTAAGGTCATCTTGTAAGGTCATCTCGAAAGGTCAAGATTAATCAAGTCTAGAAAAATTTGACCTTGTGACAACTTGCCCCTTATTCACTGTGTATATACAGTAACGCAGGAATGTACAAATAACGCAAGAATTGTGCAAAAGTAATGCAGAATTGTGCAATTTAGAGGCTAAAACAAGCACCGCGATAAGTAAATGGACCAATATTTTTTATTGAACATCAAATTAGAGGAAATGTGTTAGCACATACGGTTGCTGAGACATAATACTTTAAACCTCATCAAAAATATTTCTATGAAAATGTTTATTTTTCAAGATCATTCGTGAAAATGACAACCCAACTAGTGTATTGATGGCTGTATTTAGTTTCGTCGATATCTTTAAATATAATAACATACGCATTACATATGCGGTGTATCTGAGACATTTTCCAATCTACTCGTATCATATTTCACTTAATTTTGCAGGTTAAACAAAATTAAGACCATTTTTACGAAGTAACGCCAAATTCGTGAATGCATCACTGAAGCAACGTGGGTTATCTCACTAAAAGTAGCTAAATCCTATTTTACCAGCTTCCATCTATTGTTTTACGACACTGTTAGTTTGACAAATGTTTTAGGTATACAGAATAGGAAAAAATAATGTTTTAAGTATGTTAGATGCACATATTTATTTTAGGAAACACAAAAGTCACCTTCAAAACGGTAATATGTTGTCTTTCTCACAAATGATCTAAAGAATTAAACATATTCCTGAAAGAAATTGTAATGCTGGTTAAAGTATTATGTTGTAGCAGCCGTATGCTCTAATTAATTTCTTTAAATTTGATTTAGAATAAAATATTTTGGTTTGTTTACTTACTATGTTATTCTTTTTGGCTATAGCATTGCATAGATTCTGCGTTACTTTTACGTTAATGGCGTGGGTTCGATCCCTGGGAGATGCTTTGGTAGTTTAGCACGGAGGAAGGTAGTCTAGTACTGGTGTAACTCTCCAGAAACGATTGTTAGGAAACTACCCGCCTATATAACTGAAATACTGTTGGAAAAAGGCGTAAAATGAAACAAACAAACAAAACATTAATTGCACATTCCTGCGTTACTGGATATGCAAGGTGTTATTGCTGTGTGTTCAAAACTGGCCAGAGACTTTGGATTTTTATGCCCCCGCCATGTAATGGCCGGGGCATATAGTGTTACCCTGTTCCGTCATTCCGTCCTTCCATCCTTCAGTCCTTCCGTCATTCTGTCATCATCAGTTTCCGTTCATTATCTTAAGAACAGTTGCACACATTCAACTCAAATTTGACATATGTCATGAGAAAATACAGGTCAAGTTTGAATTTGGTCATGGTTCGATGATTTTTGGCAGAGTTATGCCCCTTTTACCCCCGCCATGTATTGGCCGGGGCATATAGTGTTACCCTGTTCCGTCCTTCCGTCATTCTGTCATTCCGTCATCATCAGTTTCCGTTCATTATCTTAAGAACGGTTGCACACATTCAACTCAAACTTGACATATGGACATGTCATGAGAAAATACAGGTCAAGTTCGAATTTGGTCATGGTTCGATGATTTTGGCAGAGTTATGCCCCTTTTACTTTGAAAATAATATGAAATTTTCAGTTTCCGTTCACTATCTCCCCAAAGGTACAACACATTCAACTCAAACTTGACATATGACTATGTCATGAAAAAAATACAGGTCAAGTTTGAATTTGGTCATGGTTCGATGATTTTTGGCAGAATTATGCCCCTTTTACTTTGAAAATAATATGAAATTTCAGTTTCTGTTCATTATCTCCCCAACGGTACAACACATTCAACTCAAACTTGACATATGGATATGTCATGAGAAAATAAGGTTAAGTTCGAATTTGGTCATGGTTCGATGATTTTTGGCAGAGTTATGCCCCTTTTACTTTGAAAATAATATGAAATTTTCAGTTTCCGTATATTATCTCCCCAACGGTACAACACATTCAACTCAAACTTGACATATGGATATGTCATGTGAAAATACAGGTCAAGTTCGAATTTGGTCATGGTTCGATGATTTTTGGCAGAGTTATGCCCCTTTTACTTTGAAAATAATATGAAATTTTCAGTTTCCGTTCATTATCTCCCCAAAGGTACAACACATTCAACTCAAACTTGACATATGGCTATGTCATGAAAAAAATACAGGTCAAGTTTGAATTTGGTCATGGTTCGATGATTTTTGGCAGAGTTATGCCCCTTTTACTTTGAAAACAATATGAAATTTTCAGTTTCCGTTCATTATCTCCCCAAAGGTACAACACATTCAACTCAAACTTGACATATGGATGCGTCAGAGGAATGCGCAGGTCAAGTTCAAATTTGGTCATGGTTCGATGATTTTTGGCAGAGTTATGCCCCTTTCACTTTGAAAGTAATATGAAATTTTCAGTTTCCGTTTATTATCTCCCCAATGGTACAACACATTCAACTTAAATTTGACATATGGATATGTTTTTGGAATGCCCAGGCCAAGTTCGAATTTGGTCATGGTTCAATGATTTTTGGCAGAGTAATGCCCCTTTCACTTTGAATATAATATGAAATTTACAGTTTCTGTTCATTATCTACCCAACAGTGTTACATATTCAACTTAAATTTGACATATGGATAATTATGTCAAAGGAATTGGCAGGTCAAGTTGGAATTTGGTCATGGTTTGATGATTTTTTGGCAGAGTTATGTCCCTTTCACTTTGAAAATAATATAGATACATCTTAGGAATAAGCAGTTTAAGTTTGAAATTGGTCGTGGTTCAATGATTTTAGACAAACTTATCTTTCCTGAATGTTGGAAAAATTTTGAACTTTCAGTTTCAGCACTCATTCTTTTAGCCATTATTTTGGCTACAAATATGCAATATGCTATTTTTAAAAGGTTAAGACTGAATAATTTCAGTGCCTTGAACATTGTATGAAAATGGTTTGTGTTTACATTGAAAAGTTTTAAGGGCTTTGAACTTAAAATGAAAAAAATAATTAATGCACCATCTGAAATTTTGGCTGCATGCGGGGGCATCCGTGGCATGATGACACATTTCTAGTTTTTTCATGTGGGGAAACGATCTAGCTAGCTTACTGAAAGTAAGCGGTTTTACTGAATAGTCTGCTTGTGTCTGAAATAATGCACTGAGGTTTTCCTCCACCAGTGAGGTGGAAAGTTGCCTTGTGACCTTAAGTGTTTCTGTGGCTTTAAAGCTAACCAAGAAAACCATGCATGCTAAGGCCTTATTCACATGCATACTAAGGAGCAATTTTATATAGGCATCATTTTTGTTACAATAATGCATATTTCAGACCATTTATTCCCACAGACTTTATGACTGATAAATTTAATACTAGAATAGTAATTTAATACTAGAATAGCATTATTTTCTATGTGTAATTTATGTACCTGTACATTTATGATTGTCTTTGAATTGTCAAAATAAGCTGTTTTTTGGAGGGAGTTAGCACCCTTGAAAATGGCTAAAATGCTTAATTGATATGCCCTATTTGGTAAACAGGGCACAGAATATTAAGTTCTACAAAAGTAATGAAACTGAACCTGTGTCAAACTGCGCAGTTTTATGTATGTTTCACCAATCACAAAGGGTAGGGATTGAAGATGAGAGTTAATGCCTGTAGCAAACCTTGTGTGTTCTACATAATTATACAGTTTATAGATGTTATAATGACAAAATGTATAATACTTCTAATAAAGTTGGCTCCAGCCTCCAAGAATTTTTTCCATAGAAGGTCTTATAGGAAAGCTGTCCATTCAATCAATGTACAAAAATGCAATAAAAACATTTAATTTTGCTTAGGAAGATTTTAGTATTTGATAGTTGGTATTGTTGTTTTCATGTTCCTAAATGCCAACAATGCTGTTCTACAAAATATATACTTTGATAAAATGAAAAGAAATATTGTTCCAGAGAACACATGTTTTCTATGCTCTGTATAGCTTTTCAGCATTTTGTAATAAAGATTTTTTAATCAGTCTGGATATATAGCCTGTTATAATATTGCATGTTTGTAAGGTTGCTTTTCTTTGGATAATCATGCCATTTATATAGTTTTGTATGCACAGTTGCTGTCAATTCATGAAGAAATCTCAATATTTACAAAAACTGTTTATATTGGAGCATATAACCTGTGAAAAATCTTTATAACTAATAGCTAAATAATATTACAAATAGTTGTTTGCTTATATAAACCAAGCCAATATGTGAAAGTTATATTGATGCAGAATTACAATGTATTTTTAACTGTCTTTACAGCTTTGAAAAGTACCACAGATACTGCAGGATATTTAGAGGCACCAAATGCCGACATGAATATTATGGATGGGCCGGAATCTAAACATTACTATCCGTGTGGATTCTGTGGCAGAGTATTCCAGCATAATTCCTGGTTAACACGGCATATACGCGGACATACTGGAGAGAAACCTTACGAGTGTCGTGTATGCGGAAAAAGATTTACACGATCAGGGACAATGAAAGTTCATACACTTATGCATAACATAAAATGATATTCAGAGATTATTATGTCTTTAAGTAATAATTTACATAGAAAATTGTGACAATTTTAAAGCAATGAATTCAATTTTTGGTTGGCTTTTTGAAAACAGTTGGTACTTTTATACGCAAATTGCCTTTAAAGGGACTCCAATGAGGTTTTTTTGACATGAGACAGGACCAAAACCTTTTTGTTTGAGATTGTACCATTCTATGATAATATCACTTGTGGGCAAATTTTAGCTCATTGGCCCCATTTTCCATAATAATCATTCAATGATGCAAAATGACCCAAAATATGAAAAGCATTTCAATGCCTTTAGTTGTAATTGGGCTAAGATTTTAACAAATTGATTTTCAGTTCAAATTTGAGTATAAATCTTTTATTTCCATATCATCTTTTGCAAAGGTTTTGCATTACATCATTATACCCCCACAAACGAAGTTTAGGGGGGGTATATAGGAGTCAGCTTGTCGGTCGGTCGGTCGGTTGGTCGGTCCGTCGGTCGGTCCGTCGGTCGGTCCACATCATGGTTTCCGGACGATAACTTTAGTTTGGAATGAGGTATTGTAATCAAACTTGGTATATAGCAACCTTATATGGAAACTCCGGTTGGTATTGCATTTGGACCCCCTGGGGTCAAGGTCAAGGTCACCGTTACTAAAAATAGAAAAATGGTTTCCGGACAATAACTAGAGTTAGGAATGAGATATTGTTATCAAACTTGGCGTATAGCAAGCTTATATGAAGACCTGGGTTGGTATTGCATTTGGGCCCTCTGGGGTCAAGGTCAAGGTCACTGTTACTAAAAATAGAAAAAATGGTTTCCGGACAATAACTCGACTTAGGAATGACATACTGTAATCAAACTTGGTGTATAGCAAGCTTATATGAAGACCTGGGTTTGATATTGCATTTGGACCCCCTGGGGTCAAGGTGAAGGTCACCGTTAGGAAAAATAGACAAATGGTTTCCTGACAATAACTAGAGCTAGGAGTGAGATATTGTAATCTAATTTGGTGTAAAGGAAGCTTATATGAAGATCTGGGTTGGTATTGCATTTGGACCCCCTGGGGTCAAGGTCAAGGTCACCGTTACTAAAAATAGAAAAATGGTTTCCGGACAATAACTAGAGTTAGGAATGAGATATTGTTATCAAACTTGGCGTATAGCAAGCTTATATGAAGACCTGGGTTGGTATTGCATTTGGGCCCTCTGGGGTCAAGGTCACTGTTACTAAAAATAGAAAATGGTTTCCGGACAATAACTTGACTTAGGAATGACATACTGTAATCAAACTTGGTGTATAGCAAGCTTATATGAAGACCTGGGTTGGTATTGCATTTGGACCCCCTGGGGTCAAGGTCAAGGTCACCGTTAGGAAAAATAGACAAATGGTTTCCTGACAATAACTAGAGCTAGGAATGAGATATTGTAATCTAATTTGGTGTAAAGGAAGCTTATATGAAGATCTGGGTTGGTATTGCATTTGGACCCCCTGGGGTCAAGGTCAAGGTCACTGTTACCAAAAATAGAAAAATGGTTTCCGGACAATAATAGACTTAGGAATGACATACTGTAATCAAACTTGGTGTATAGCAAGCTTATATGAAGACCTGGGTTGGTATTGCATTTGGACCCCCTGGGGTCAAGGTCAAGGTCACTGTTAGGAAAAATAGACAAATGGTTTCCGGACAATAACTAGAGTTAGGAATGAGATATTGTAATCTAATTTGGTGTAAGGGAAGCTTATATGAAGACCTGGGTTGGTATTGCATTTGGACCCCCTAGGGTCAAGGTCACCGTTACAGTGTTACTAAAAATAGAAAAATGGTTTCCGGACAATAACAAGAGTTAGGAATGAGATATTGTTATCAAACTTGGCGTATAGCAAGCCTATATGAAGACTTTGGTTGGTATTGCATTTGGGCCCCCTGGGGTCAAAGTCAAGGTCACCGTTACGAAAAATGGTTTTCGGACAATAACTAGAGTTAGGAATGAGATATTGTAATCTTATTTGGTGTATAGGAAGCTTATATGAAGACCTGGGTTGGTATTGCATTTGGACCCCCTAGGGTCAAGGTCAGTTACAGTGTTACTAAAAATAGAAAAAATGGTTTCCTGACAATAACTAGAGTTAGGAATGAGATATTGTAATCAAACTTGGTGTATAGCAAGCTTATTTCGAGACCCCAGTTGCGATTACAATTAATTGAAATATTTCTTTGTACACAGTTGATAGTTTGTGTTCAAATTTTTCTTCAGACTACTTTTTTTTCAAAAAGTCAAAGTTGTTGGTGGGGGTATTGATCACCTTCAGTGATAGGTCTAGTTTCATGTATTTTAATTTGATTTAGGGTTAGGACCGCAGTCATGTCAGTGAAGCTCCTTTAATGATCATTTTTGTCAAGGTTTTTCATGCACTATCTGAAAAAGTTCATGGACTGAAATTTTGTGTGGGTTTTTCACTCCACAAATAAAGCTTGACATTTGTCTTTACTATGAGCTTTACAGTGCAGGTATTCATGAGTGTGATACATTATATATATATTCGTATATAATAAGTCTAACATATAACATTTAAAATTACATGTTACACTCAAACTATTCGCTGAATAAAGTTGATCTGAAATTAATTAAAGAAATATTGTGTACTATGTTAAATTTCAGTCATATTTATTTTCTAAATGGTAATAAAACATGTTGGTGAAGGATATCAATGTGAAGTTATAAAGGATATTTGTTTTATTATTTTTATACTTTAGATATATTTTATCTCTGAATTTAGCTTTCTATATTAATAAATGTTGTTTTTTTAGCTCAACTGTCACAAAGTGACATGGTGTGCATTTGTGATCGCTTTTTGTCCGGCATCCGTCCATCCATCGTCCGTAACCTTTTACTTTAAATCTCCTCATAAACCCCTTAGCTAATTTCATTCAAACTTCACAGGAATGTTCCTTTGGTAGTCTACTTTAAAATTTTTTCAAAGAATTTAATTCCAAGCAGAACTCTGGTTGCCATGGCAACCGAAAGAAAAAACTTAAAATATCTTCTTTTATAAAAAGCTACCGCTTAAATATTTGGCATGAAACATCATCTAGTCAGTACCAAGTTTGTTCAAATAAATGCCCTGGGGTCAAAATTGGCCCCGCCCGGGGGTTGGGGGTGTCATTGATTTTCTTTATTTGTATATAGTGAAAATTATAAAATCTTCTTTTAAAAAAACCAAATAGCTAGAGCTTAGATATAAAACACGGAACATCTTCTAGTGGGTGTCTACAAAGTTTTTCAAATAAAAGCTCTGTGATAAAAATTGGCCACGCCCAAGCGGGTCATTGATTTTCCTTATTTGTATATAGTAAAAACTTAAAAAATCTTCTTTTACAAAACCAAAATAGCTAAAGCTTAGATATAAAGCATGAAACATCTTCTAGTGGGTATCTACCAAGTTTGTTCAAATAAAATCCCTGGGGTAAAAGTTGGCCCCGCCCCAGGGGTGGTCATTGTTTTTCCCTTTATGTATATAGTAAAACTTAAAAAAATCTTCTTTTAAAAACCCAAAGAGCTAGAGCTAAGATATTTAGCATTTAACATCTTCTAATGTGTCTCTACCAAGTTTGTTCAAATAAGGGCCCTTGGGTTAAAATTGGCCCCGCCCCAAGGGGTCATTGATTTTCCTTGTAGTGTATAGTAAAAACTTAAAAATCTTCTTATAGTAAAAACCGAAAGAGCTAGAGTTAAGATACTAAGAATGAAACATCTTCTAGTGAGTGTATATCAAGTTTCTTCAAATAAAAGCCCTGGGGTAAAAATTGGCCCTGCCCCAGGGTGTCATTGATTTTCCTTATTTGTTTATTAGCAAAACCTTAAAAAAAATCTTTTTTTAAAAACCAAATAGCTAGAGCTTAGATATAACATGTATAAAGCATGAAACTTCTTCTAGTGGGTGTCTACTAAGTTTGTTCAAATAAAAGCCCTGGCGTCAAAATTGGCCCCTCCCGGGGTCATTGTTTTTCCCTATATGTATATAGAAAAAACTTAAACAATCTTCTTATTTAAACCCTAAAGAGCTAGAGCTTAGATATTTATCATGAAACATTTTATAATGGGTGTCTACCAAGTTTGTTCTAATAAAAGCCCCTGGTTTAAAATTGGCCTTGGCCCAGGGGCCTATATACGTTGAGCGTTTTCAGGGCAATCATGGCCCTCTTGTTAAACTCAACTGTTTGAAAACTAGGGGAGAGCTATTGTACTCATCCCATTCAGTATACTTAGGTTAAAATTTTAGCTCACCTTGCACATAGTGCAGGTGAGCTTTTAGGATGACCAATCATTTGCGTCCGGCGTCTGGCGTCCATCCACATTTTATTCAAACGACATCTGCTATAATACCACATGGCTAATATTAATGAAACTTGGCAGGAATACTCTTGTTTTTAGATGTATATCTAGGAAATTAGGTCCATGTATATAGTATAATTAAATAATGCATTTTGCCTGAAGTGACGAACATCGAACAAATTTCTGTTATAAACACAAATATCACTGCTTTTACACAAATAACAGGCTTACCCGAGGAGCGCTTTGGAGCCAATGACCCCCTCTGGTTTTTATGTTGGCTAAAAGTTTTAAATTACGTAGGTAAAGTCGAAAAGGGTTAAAATGTTATTAATTGACATTGTCCGTCCTTCTGCATCTTACGTGTTTAAGTGTTGAATGCATTTACTTGACATAAAGTATATATCGATATTATCTTAAGGTTGGAAAATAAGTCTGGAAGATTAAAAAAATCTTGGGTACAAGTTTGCAGGCATTTGCCTGAAGTTAAGGTATTTTTTTTACTCTTGAAAGCTCTCTTTTTCTATATAAAACAATTGAATAATACTAAATTAAGGGTTTTCTGAATTTTTAACTTGCACCCATAATACTAAATACTGAATAAGGTTAGACAAAATCCACAAACTGAGCAGCATCACGGAAAATAGCCCTTACATTGCAGGAAACTGCATTTTCTCTATAACGGTATTTGTTTTGCTTGTCCGGTCAGCATAACTTTAAAACCACTAGTTGGAATTCGGTAAAACTTCATACAATGGTCAGGCACATTGAGAGGAAGTGCAGTGCACAAGAACCATAACTCCATTTTGACTAATTACAGAGTTATTGCCCTTTGTTACCTTTTCCTTGTCCGGAGCATAACTTGAAAACTACTGGTTGGAATTCAAAACACTTTCATACAATGGTCAAAGACAATAAGAGGAAGTGCAATGCACAAGAAGCATAACTCTATCTAAAGTAATTACATAGTTATTGTCCTTGTTACTTTTCTATTGCTTTTTCATGTCTGGTCAGCATAACTTTAAAACCACTAGTTGGAATTCAGTAAAACTTCATACAATGGTCAGGCACTTTGAGAGGAAGTTCAGTGCACAAGATCCATTACTCTATTTTTTATTACAGAGTTATTGCCCTTTGTTACTTTTTCCTTGTCCGAAAGATAATTTGAAAACTACTGGTTGGAATTCAAAACAACTTCATACAATGATTAAGCAATGATTAAGCACAATTGAGGCACTTTGAGAGGAAGTGCAGTGCACAAGAATCATAACTCCATGTAAAGTAATTATAGAGTTATTGCCCTTTGTTACTTTTCAGTTGCATTTTCCTTGTCTGGAGCATAACTTGAAAACCACTAGTTTGAATACAATAAAACTTCATACAATGGCCAAGCACATTGAGGGAAAGAGCAGTTCTCAAGAATCATAACTCTATCTGGACTTATTACAGAGTATTTCAATAAAACACAGTGAAAGGAAATGCAACATACAATAACCACAATTATCTTTAATTGCCGAGAACCATAACTCTATTCAAATTCTTTTACAAGGTATTCTGTTACTAGTAACTTCCTCATTTCCGAAGCAGTCTTTTGGGGGTATTACTCACATTTAGTGGTAGTTCTAGATTTATTACCAACAAATTCCTATAGGATAGTATAGTATAGGATCATAACTTGACATGTACTCGCGTTATGTTAAGATTTTTTTACGTAATTATGTACACTAGTGACTGTTAGAAGTCTACGCAAAAGAAAATATACTAAGTCTTACAGAATTTTATTTTTTTAGAAACGACATATCGTGTTCAATATATTGTTGTCAAATGTAGAACATTTTTATTTTGTATATTCTGCTAAAGGGACTCCACTGAGGTTTATCCCCCTCACAAAACAATTAAGAAGTTATTTTCTTACAACGATCGACTGGGTCACTTTAAAAGGAAATATAGGAATCAGACGATGAAGCAATTTATTCGGAGATTAAAAATCGTAATTTGAGCACTGCCCGATTTGAGTTCATAACGTTTAAACACTATCATTTTTTCGGTCAATTTTTACAACTGAAAATAATTATTCTTGAAAAACGGACAGAGCGAATGATCTGTAATTTTGCACAAAAGTTATTGGCCATCAGCTGCATCTAATGTTAAATATATATCGAAAACATATTTCCAGTCCAGTTAATAAAAACGCTTAGTGGTGGTAATTTAAGTGTTTCTAAGTAGAATAAGAGCACACAGCGCACGTGATCTGTTGTCCTGATTCATAGGGCCGACACTTCAATGAACCACATGCCGCCTCAACAAAGTAAAACACAGCCCCATTGTGATTCACTGGGCTTGAATACTCGTCTGCAGTTGAATTTCTGTCGAAGCATATGAATTCTGATCCTGTACGGTGGATATGATGACCAGCCATCAAGTAACCCTCGTATTCTAACTTGAAGTTGTCTGGGCAATTATCTTGTCCAGGAATCATGATGACGCTCGTACGAGGAACATGACAAACAGCACATGGGATGTCATGGTTCATCAATTTGTCCCAAATACTATCTGTAGTTTGATATTCGGCACCATATATCAATGCCATAAATTTCGGTTTTTTTGAGAGATAGTGATATTTTGGCTTTTTAGATAAGCAAATGGGATTAGCAGCTGCACCAGTTTGCCAGTAATGCGACCCGGCAGTAAATCCGCCGTAAACAGTCGTTGCTCCAGGCGGACAAGAAGACCGTCCCCATCTCGTGTAGGTGTCAGTGGCTTGCTTTTTACTAAGACGTTCTAGTTTGTCTTTCGTAACTAGAATATAAAAGAAAAGTTATTATAATAATATGTATCATTATAAAGTGGTAGTTTAAAATATGTCATAATGTCCCGTTTAAATGAAAAACATCCCCACTGAAATGCGTAAAAATTAATATGTTTATTATAGTTACATATTTATAACCAAACAACAAACCATAGACTGGCGCTCATTGTAAAACGGCATAGTTTCGTTAATAAATATAAATGTACTATTTGGATAAAGTACATGACTGACTTGAGTAAACTTTCGAAAAGAACCGAAATATTTTTCCCTCAAAGATAGTCAGCTGAATATCTTATAGATGCAATTTCGGTACGTAAAGACGAGGTGTTATAGGTAGTGTAAAATACAGAAAATCGATATCTGTGTATAGATTTCCTCAGTTGAAAGTGATGTGTTCTTAATTGTATAATAATATGTATTTAATCAAATATCTAGTATAAGCTATAACACTTACTTTTATGATCGTTTCTTAGAGATGCAACACTCTCTCCACAGTCAACAAGCATTTCCAAGACCTTTGAAGCATTCTCAAGTTTTTGGTTTTCGGTAGCAAGTACCGTTTTTATGGTCAACAATGTAAAAGCTAGCCACAACATTATTTAAACTTACACTTTTAACTACTTTGCAAGAATAAGACAAAAGCGTGAATGCTTTACTTTTGGTGTAAAAGGTTGATTTTGAGGACAATTAAAGGTTTCATGTCAGTTCATGACGATTTTACTAGATGAATCTTGTGAAGTTCTTTTAAATTTCAAAATGATATATAGTATCAAAAGGGGTTAAAATTCTGAGGACATTATCAGCGTCGTTACCCATTTAGCATTTTCTTCGGCTCATTCCGTCCATCTTCGGATGACTACATGTATCAATAATCGTCGAGGTGTTCCGATTGAGTGTTTTAGACAATAAGTTTATCGAAAGTTCATTAAAATTAGTTTATAAGCATTTGTATTGAAATACGCAACATATCTGCTTTAAAACCTAAACATATATTTTGATAGGAGATTTTCCCTCTTCCTGTTTGTGAAAAATCTCTTTGTTTGTGTGCATATTTTTAACAATAAGATATAAGCCTTTACAATACAATCACAATAAACTTATGAAATACATTGTTAGTAACCATATAATACTATGAGTTGGTTGAAAGAAAATATATTTGCATAACATCATGCTGTATGTGTCTTGGGGATGTCAGATGTTTTACTTATGGTTGTCAAATGCAATGAGAGAAACATATCCACAAAGTTTGACGAACCATCACGTGGTTCGTTGTTTACAGACGACAGAGTTATAACAATATCAAAGTTAGCACTGTTCGTCGGGACGGAGGGGTTGTTGTTGGCGCCAGAAGGCATCTATGCTGACATAGACATGTATAGGAAAATGCATTCGCGTCATTTTATTTGCACTGAATCTAGATATGGTATACCTAATGTATTTGATATGCAGCATTACCTATTGGATTATTTTAGAATCTATATAAATCATTCACATCTTATACCATATATCCAATGAATTTTGTTCTTATATAACTCATCATCTGAGATGATGAATTATAGGTACCTGCATAATTTTATTGTCAACTCAAATTGCCTTTAAGTGGAATGTTGAGTAAAACATAAACTGATAATATAAAGTGTTATTTAATTTTACCCATGAAATATGGTGCTATATCAGTCAAATATATTTCATGTTTTTTAAAAATAAATATGAAATATGAATATGAAAGTGGGCGGAGTCAAAACTCATATTTATTTTTTTGGACTTCTTTCGCCGTTTTGTTTGAAAAATCTGATAAATACAAAACAACGTTTTCTTGAATTTTGTTTTGAAAACTATCTAGCATGATAGAAAATGGTCTAACTAAGAAAATTAATCCGAACACCAATATCTTTAATTCAGTAATTAACGCTGTACAGACGTTTAAAGAGTTGTTTACATGACGTCACAATGTAGCGCCAAATAGCGCGTGCTTACGCATAAATTACTGCGCGCTGTACAATTGCAGTTGGTAGCAAGCAAGGGGATTCGTAACCATTTTCTTTGATCATGAAATTAAATAAAAAGGTTATTTTTTCGTTTTTCGTGAAATATGGTATATATTTTCACTCAACATGATAAAATGCCACATATTTTTACTCGCCGTACCGGCTCGTGAAAATATGTGGCATTGTATCATGTTTCGTGAAAATATATACCATATTTCACGCAAACGAAAAAAAATCCTCTTAAAATTTATAAGGCATGACTTTATTATGGAAATATATTTTATTTATAAAATATTTTATGGACAAGCTGTTTTCGAAAGCATTTATTCTTACTTTTCTTTCCGTAATTCATTTTGGAAATGATTCTTTTCCGTACTAAAGTAAATTATGCGCAATTCATTAAAAAAAAAAAAAAAAAAAAAAAAAAAAAAAAAAACAACAAAGGAAACAAAGCAAAATTTTCTCATCTAGTAAAAAAGGTTTAAAGTGTATAAAGTTTTTATGTTATAAATTGACAATGTTAAAAAGATAAGTTACATTCGTTATACAAAACTTCGTTTATGTGGAATACGATTCATCATTCATAGTTTAGTGGGAAGTCCTGCCTTCATGAACTATACCTGTTCTCGTAATTCAAAAACAAAAGGCTAACTTGTTTTTGAAAAAAGTGTGAATTGCACATGCGCATGATTTTCTATAATACGGAAAGATTTTATTTCCGAAACGGATAACGAAAAAAAAAAAAAGAAAGAATAAATGCTATTGAAAACAGTTTGTCAATAAAATATTTTATAAATAAAATTCATTTATGGCCGTCGTGTTTTTTATAAGTAAATCCCAATAGTCTGTGAATATTAAGACACAAAAATAAAACAACACAATGTTATAAGTTGTTAATGGGTTTTGGATAACATTTTACATATAGAATTTTTTTATGTCTTAACTTGGAACCCAATTTGCCATAAATAAGAGCAGTTAATGACAAGCTTTTATGGCTTCAGTTTTTTACAAGCTGCATAGACTTTTGGGAACACGACGGCCATTACTGAATTTATATAAGTGTTATTTGCTTGTTTCCCTATATGAAATGATGCATGCTTGTTTTGTGCTTAATATTGGTAGTTTGTGTATACCACACTTGCAAAAAGTTATATATGTTTATAATTATGCAAATAAAACAACTTTTGAACATCGAAGAATATGTAAAATGTGCTCAGCAAATATGTGTGCACATTATATTTATTCAATAAATTACATGCATTCCTTTCTTATTCGGAAATTTGAGTTAGAATTTATAGAAAATAGATTTCTAATTACCTCCCTTACGGAAGCTTCAAAGGGTCACCTCTTATGCGATCTTTTGTGAGAAGATTTACGCTATTCGAAAAAATATAAGGCGCGAAGGCGTGATATTTTTAGTGTTTTCTCAAAAAATAACTCGAATAAACAAGAAAAATTGAGTTAATTGGCCAAATGTTTTCTTGCAAAAAAAGAAGCAATGCACATGACGAGTACTTTTTTGACGAGAAATTAATAAAAGTTGTTTTTCGAAAAAAATGTAGACGCAATATGTGAAAGATTTCACTTTCTCGATAAAAATTATGACGCAATACCTAATGCATTACACCTTGTCGAAAAAACATTTAATGCATTACCCTAATACATTTCATTTGATGAAAAAATGTTTTCACAATGCTTAAAGTGTAGTCCGCTTTTCGTTATATTTTTGTCGACATCATCTTACCTTGTCACACAATAGTGACATTCAGGCATATTATACTACAGAAGGCAGCACATTTATCGAAGTCATGGAGAAAGTTTTAACAGTATTGGTATGTTATTATTATCATTATTATTCTTATTATTATTATTAATATTATTATTATTGTTACTATTATTAGTAGCACTAGCAGTAGTAGTAGTGGCGGCGGTAGTTGTAGCATCAGAGAAGAAGCATTGGCAGTAAAAGCAGCAGCAGCAGCAGCAGCAGCAGCAGCAGCAGCAAAAGCAGCTTGTTACTGTACAGTAGTAGCAGTCGTAGTAGGTACTTGTATAGGTACACGCTTTAATAGATTCACTTATTCAGCTTTTCATGGTAGCTTAATGTATAGTCTGTGGTTAACAGACTCTTTTCGTCCGTTGTCCATCGTCTGTAAACAAAGTTGACGTTACCCCTCTAGCGTTTTCATTTTTGCTTTGATTTTGACCAGAAGTTGTATCTTAATGTAACATAGATCAAGCTAGAAAATGGGATATTTCGGGTGAAATTCAGGGTCACAGTGACTTAAGAAATAACAAAAATGGTAAAAAATAGTAATTTGGCACACAATCCAAACACCATATGCCTTAGGGATACGGAACCTATGCTATAATAACCACCAATAGGTAATTTC